CCCTTGGCCACTTCGAAGGCCACAGTCTCACCTGAGCAGGTGGAGGAGGAAGAAACACTCCTGTTTCAGGCCACTTTCTTTTTTACCTTCTACATACCACATGCCCAAGGTAAATCTGGTGAAAATCTCCCAAATTCCAAAGGGCCTGTTTGAAGCCCCACCCACCAGCACACTTGCCCTCTCCACAGCCCAATCAGATTCAGGTATGGCTCCATAGCATGAGGGTTGGCGGTAGATAAGGGCACTTGGGTAGTTCCCTCTCATCTTCTTGATGGCTCTGATCTCCAATCCAGCAGAGGGACTGTGTCTGCTGACCCAGCATTCAGGAGTAAATCCAACATCAAGGTCTCTTTCTACAGGAGATCTCTAGGAAGCGCTGGGAGAGCCATCTCACCCCTGAGAGTACAAGATGCTGCTGTTCAGGACCCCATCAGTCTGCTGCCCCTTGCTGAATCAGGGTGGATGTCCTCAGACTGAAAGGCTGCTTTTTAGAACCATTTGAAGGCTGAAGAAAATTCTAGGAGTTTTGCAGACTCAAAAGCTTGAGTTTCTGAAAAACTGAAGAAGCTCACCTCCCTGGCTAAATGTGGACAGAGGAAAGGTGAAGGAACAGAAGCTGCCCTTCTCCCAGGTGCTGACTCAGGCAAAGCCAGAGGGGAAGCCTAGCCAAAAGCTGGACAAGGTTCCACAAGGCTGATCCTCTCCCAAGAGAGTGTACTCAGAGCTTTCTGAATGGAACTGGCAGATTTCACTGGCCATTATCTTCACCCTAAGCCACTCCTATCTCTGTACTATTATTCACTCTGTCACCGAAACCAGGAACCCCAGGGTCACCCGTCACTGCTCCTTCTCCCTCAACTGTCACTTCCAAACACTCCCAGAGTCCGGGTAATTTCCCCCTGCAAACAACTCTAATCTCTGCCCTTCCTCTCCATTCCACTGACTCTGCCCTGACCCAGGCGTCCACCAGCTCTTGCTTTGATGATTGCAAGAGCCCTCTGCAGGGACTCCAGACTTGCCTCTCTTCAATCCACCTTCCACCCGCAACCAGAGGGCTTTTTGGAACATACTGGTCTAATGGTGCTGTTTCTGCCTGTTATGGATTGAACTGTGTCCCCAAAAAATATGTGTTGCAAATCCTAACCTCTATGCCTGTAGTTATAATCTCATTTGGGAATGGGCTGTCTTTGTTATGTTAATGAGCAGGATTACTGTAGGGTGTATCTTGAGTCAATCTCTTTTGAGATATAAAAGAGATTAAAACAAGCAAGCCAGAAAGCAGAGATGGAAAAGAGAGATGCCAAGCCATATGAAGACTGCCCAGGAGCAGAAGCTAAAAGAGACAAGGATCTTCCTCCAGAGCCGACAGAGACAGAAAAGCTTCCCCTAGAACCAGCACTCTAAATTCGGACTTCTAGCCTCCTAAACTGTGAGAAAATAAATTTCTGTTTGTTAAAGTCACCCATTTGTGGTATTTCTATTATAGCAGCACTAGACTACTAAGACACCGCCACTTAAAACAAGGCATCCCATCACCAACAGAATAAAAAGTTTAAGCAGCTTTGCACTGGGGCTTGTCTACCTCTCCGCATGCCCAACAGCCTTCACACCCTGTGCTAGAGCCCCCCGTGGATTCCTAATGCTCCACATGTACCAGCATGCATCCATGCCGTGCCAAGCTGTGTCCTCTGCCTGGAATGCTTCATGAACCCCAGAAACTCCATTCACCCTTCAAGGTCCAGCTCAAGCTCTAAGGGCTCCTGGAAGTTCTCCTTGACCTCCCTTCCTCCCCAAGGTGAATCACTCCTTCCTCTAGGTTCCTGCTGCACGCTGCACAGATTTCTGTGAGCAATCACTGAGCTCTGTGTCAGCATTAGTGAGTTAAGAGCCTATCCCTGCCCCTCTAGACACAAGCTCCTCCAGGACAGGGCCTGCCTCACTGTCCTTCTGCCCCCAGTACCCGGCACATCCCCAGTCATACACGGGAGTTCGTGTGTGTGATTGGGGTTCTGCATTCTGAGCACTACACACATCAGTGGGTGTGATGTCTCCTGATGACACCAATTCACTAGGGTTGCTAGTAGGGACATACACAGAAGGCACTCTAAATATGTTTTCTTCAAAATACTATTTTTCTCAGCAGTCCTACTTCTATTTTAAAAAATGGTTCTTTTAAAGAGCCGAGTTGAATCATCTGCATGGTTCCCATACTGACTGGGTAAACTCCCACAGATTTCCTTTTCAGAAAGAATACAATAAAATCCTGTGATCTTGTGATCCCTCAGAACACTTCTGACAGCCCAGTGGGACACAGTTCCAGTCGCCACTAATTGCTCCACTAATTCCTGGAAGTTCTTTCCTACAGCCTGTAATAACAGTTAACATTTATCAGATATTTATTACTGGTGCATGCTAAGTGCTCAACATTTTATTTAACCCTCACAACTGCCCTATTAGGGGGTACTCTTATTATCCCCATTTTACAGATGGGAAAGCCAGACATGGAGAGAATAAGTAAGCCCTAGGGACTGGCAGGGCTGGGATTAGAACCTAGATCTGTCTGATTCCAGAGTCAAATAAGCTCCTAACCACGAAGACCTACTGCCTTTCCAAAAGGTCAAATTAAAGGCACAGTAGACAAAGGCAGCCCCCTTGCCTCACAACTGGCTCACGACCACTACCAGGTCCCTGAGAGAGCAGCCTCACTTCCCCACCTGCTCAAGCAGTTTGCAATCCCAGGAAGTGAGGGGACATGCACCTGGCACTTTGTGCCAGGCAGAGAAGCCCAGGCCAATGCAGGGAGCTTGTCACTTGGCATTGGTGCTTCCTCAGCAAAGATCCACCACCCCAGCACCAACTCTCCTCTCTCAGAGGCCTACAGTAGCCTCTGAAGAGGTCTCCAGCCCTTTGGTCTCACCTCTCCCCTTCCTTCCCTCCTCTCCTGGGACTCCAGGGAGACCTTAAACACGGATCCAATCACGTCACTCCTTTGCTTAAAACCTCCACTGGTTCCTCACTGCCCTTGGCATGAAGTCCCAAATCGTTAATGTGGCATTCCTGTGTCAGTCTATCCAGCCTCACCTTATGCCATGCCCGCTTCCATACTACCCACATTGAACAATCTCAAATTTCTGGAATAAACTGTGAGTTTACTTCTCTCGCTCTCTCTCCAAGTAGAACATCTTGCTCCTTCATTCTCACCTGGCCACACCTTCCTATACTTCCAGACTCAGCTCCAGCATCACTTCTACCAAGACCTCACAGTACCCTCACCCCCTTCCAAGCTGTGCCAGCAGCTTCCTTCACTGGGCTCCCACAGCCCTCTGTTCCTGCTGCTACTAGCTTTTTGTGCCACTTCAATTATTTGTTTATAAGTCAGTCTCCCTTAACTAGATCATGAGCTCCTTGAAATAAAAATAATAGCTAACATTTACTGAACTTTTACTATGTGGCAGACACTGTCGTATGTGTTTTATACGTGTTAACTTTTTATATCATCATAATAGCTCCATGTTATCACTCCATTTTATAGATGAGGACACTGAAGCACAGAGAGGTTAAGCAATGTGCCCAAGGTCACACAGCTAGAAAGTTGCTGAACCAAAATTTGAACTCAGAAAGTCTGGCCCCAAAGTCTGCTTTTAGTAACCTTGTGCTGTCATGTGAGGAATGAATGAATGAATGAGGGCTTCGTTCAGAATGTCCAGATATAAACCACAAACAACTGGCACAACAGGGCCCTTAAGGAGCTCTGGAGAAACTCACAAGTACTTTTTACAAACAAGGATTCTTGAGAACTACAATTACATTTACCTTGACTTAGAGTCCATCACATATTCTGCTCTTCCTTATCTCATGCAAAACTACTCAGCCAACAGGGAAACGCGCCCAGCCCAGCGTGACTACCGTCTTACCCATGGTTCTTAAAACGAAGCAAAGCCAACCGGTTTCCTCCCGTGACTTAAAACAGAGCAAAGTCTATTCTACCACAGAAGACGGCTGTCATCTCTTCCTTCCGCCAACAAAAGGGCATCAAACCTGGGGAGTGGGGGTGCCCAGAGAACGCGACATCGGGAATCAGAATGCCCCTATCTAGGGGCTGGAAGGTGGGGCCAAGCGGCATGGGAATGGGCCGGCCTGACCCGGGTACAGCAGGTGAAACACTGAGCACAGCAGGCTCTCTCCTTGGAAAAGGCCGGCCAAATGTAGCACTGGCAGGCAGGTAGCTCTGACTGGTACCTGAAAGCCGCCTGGGATGCGAAAATTCCCCAGCAGCGATGGTGCTCGTGCTCCTGGAGAAAGCCCTACCCCTCCCTTGGGATTCGTTCTAAGTTTCAAGTCACTCTCGGGAGCAGGAGGGAAGCATGGTGAGGAAGGGGGTGTCTCGTGGGAAAAATCTGGCTGGGCTCAAACGCCGGTTCCTTCACTTACTGGCTGAGTAGCCCTGGACAGGACTGGCAGTGCCCATCTCCCAGGGCTGCGACAAGTACCAAGGCTCCCCACGACCGCCCCGTGCCCGGCGCGCAGCAGCCCCCGTCCCCGCTGCCCTCAACCGCCCAAGAAGGGCAGACCCCCAGGAGAGGAGGGGGCGTGTGCTGTTGCCATTTCTGTCACATCTAGATGGCCCTGGACTGTCTACTCGGTCCCACTGCCACGGCTGCTGAGGCCCGCCCCGCCAACCCTCCCCACTACCCACCCCGCGACCCCCGCCCTCACCTTCACCCGGTGCTCAGCGCTGCTCGCCCATAGTCCTTAGCCCGGAGCCGGGGCTGCTCGGCGCTCCGTGCCGGGGGGCCGAGGCCAGGCCGGGGGCGTGGGAGCCGCTCACCACCGCCTCCCAGCGCAGACGCCGCAGCCGCCGCAGCCGCCTCCCTCCATGGCTGCGGCGCCGCCACCTGACAACGGAAGTGACGCACCGCCACCCTCCTTTCTGGTCCAAACCGCAGCCCCGCCCCTCACCCCCGCCCCTTGCCAGTGTCTACAATAACCCCACGGCCTACCGGTTGAGCGCCATCTTGACAACGGGCGGAAGCCTTCACGCAAGGGGCCAGAATCAGATTGCTGATTGGTTGAGCTTGGGGTATGAGCCGAAATCTGTAAAACGATTGGAGGTTGAGACTCTAAAGGGGCGGTACTTACCGCTCATCTACGTCTGCAGTGAGGCGGGGACGAAAGTACCGACCCGCCCAAGACGCCACCGAACCTCGCGTGCCCTGCACTTGCTCTGCCGGGGTTGGAGAGGTCTCGAGCAGTTGGAAGATGGCCAATTTTAGTGTATTTATCTGAAAAGTGGGTCTTCCTTGATCCCCATTTCTCGGTTTCTGGAGCTCTGCGGAGAGCGCTGCAGTCAGGCTCAATAAATTACAGGAATTCCAGTCGCAACCCTCGCAATTCATTCCCTTCTAGGCCCCTGTCCTTTGTAGAAAACCAGAGGATGGGTATCTTCAACCTGGAGATCTCTGGCGTTTTGCCTAGGGAGGTTTACAGTGAAAAGTTCCTATTAACGCTTCCAGTCATCTAACCTCAGTCCGTCCTGCTGCAGTTTCGGTCCCTTTCTCCTCCTCCAGCAACCACGCCCTCCATGAATCAGCTTCTTGCACCAGCAGATGAGCCCTTTAAAAGGATTACATCAGGCTGGTGACTCACTGGGGCCCTCTGGGAGCCTGGCTTCCCTCCCCTGGCATGCAGAAGCAGCTAGAAAGGCTCAGTGGCAGCAGGACCCGCGGCCATAGACCCACTCCTTTGTCTCAGAGGTGTGAGCCAGGGTGCCTGCTGCATATGACTGTCTGACTCCTGGGTGCGTTTCCAGCTGTCCCCTGGGTGTGTTTGTCCATATGTGGGCACATGTGTCCGAACCTGTGTGCACTGCTGAGTTTCCCTAGGGCGTGTGGCCAGGCACTTATGTGTATGTGCATTTGCCATTGCCACACAGGTACTGCCAGGACATAAGAGTTAGTGTGAGTAAAGTCTGGCGGCCTCTGCCTGTGTCCATTTGTCTCTCTGAATGCCCGGTGCCCACTGAGATGATCGAGCTGGATAACACAGTAATCAAAACAGCTCCTGCTGTTGTGTCAGACACTGTGTGAAGTACTTTAGAGAAAACGGTATCTCCAGGTGGGAATTAGGAGTCTGTTTATAAAAGAGGAAGCTACAGTTCAGAGAGGGCAAGTAACCTGTCCAAAGACACACAGCTAATAATGGCAGGGCTATGATTTGAACTAAGACTGGTAGATTCCAAAAAGCTTGGATGTGAATCCTTGCTGCATCACTTAAAAGCTGGGTGACTGTGCAAGTTCCTTAATTTTCCCAGCCTGTCAAAATAGGGATAACACATCATGGGACCACTATGAGGATTCAATGAGCTACGGAAACAGCTTCTCACAGTACCTGGTGAGCGTTCACACTCATCTCAGTCACAGAGCTTAAATGAGCTGAATGACCAGAAGACAGGCACAAAAAAGCCCTGATCCATCATAATCCTCTCCTTGACAAAGGGTAAAGCCTAGGGATTCCGGAAGCTCTGACTCTGACAGGAATGAGTTTTGGGTTTTCCAGAGCTCTAATTATCAGCTAGATGAATCACTTGGGGCTGACACCACCATCCCAACTCCCAGGAGACTCTCAGCTGATTCAAAATATAGGATTTTAACAAAGGAGAGGAGGAGGAAGAGGGGAGGCGAAGAGGTAATGAACAGAAACTAAAGGCACCAGCCAGAGGAAATGAAAAGCTGTCATCAGGACACCAACATGGGGAGACTGCTGAGACTCATGCGCACTCGTGCGTGCGTACACACACACACACACACACACACACACACGGTGACATATTCTCCTGCTGGCTCTCCAGCTCTGGACATATTGGCAGATGGTACTGCCGTAACAAAGTGATGCCTGTCACAACAGCACGAGATGGCTGCTTGATGAGGTATAGGCAGATCTGCCTATCACAGGAGGAGAGGAGACCTTCAACCTCCAGGGGTTTCCTCAGGCTTCTGAACCCCAGCAAGCCCTACTTGCCGGCTGGCTTCTGGCTCCTGTTTGTGGCCAGGCCCGAAGTGCTGGATATGGTATAAGTTTTGAGTACCAGACCCATACCCTGTGGCTGGGTACCACCACTGAGGTTAGCAGGCACCTCCTATCTTACTCTGTCATCAGTGTCATGTCAAGAGAGCTAGGAGACACAATAGTATAGTGCAGTAGTTAAGATTATGGAGACTGGAATCAGGCAGACCTGAGTTTGAATCCTCACTCTGCTGCTCACTGGCTCTATGACCTCAAGCAAGGCACTTAATCTCTGAGCCTGTTTTCTCATCTGTAAAATGGGGTTATTAATACATACCTCCAGGGTTGTTATGATGAACTGAGATTATTCTTTCATTCCACAAAGATTTACAGAGTTTCTGCTATGTGTAGAGCATTGAGCTAGACCTGGGCTCCAGTAATACCAAAACACACAGCAGCTCTGCCCTCGTGAAGCATGTAAGGCCCCTAGCACAGGACCTGGCACACAGTGAGATTCAACCAGCGTTGCTATTTTTATGATGACCACCTGGGCACTTAGCCACTGACTTACCATGGGATCTGGGAAGAGTCCCTTCTCCTCTCTAGGTCTCTTTCTTCAACTGTAAAATTATGAGATTAGACTGGATCATTGTAGAAACCTTCCAGTCATCTAACCTCAGTCCCTCCTGCTGCAGTTTCCGTCCCTTTCTCCTCCTCCTCTCGCAACCACACTCTCCACGAATGCCTCTGGAGGGGTCTTTAGGTCAGGGAGGAGCAACCCAGCAGCCATCTTTGTGGACTGATGACCTTCTCACCTTCAAAGCCTCTTGCAGTATTTTCTCTCTCGTAAGTCTCATATTCAGTAAGTCTGTCTCCTATACAACCTACATCAAATCATTTCTTCTTTTTTATGATAGCCTCATGTTGCAGCCATTAGATCACGTGCTCAGCAGGAGCAAATCCGTATGACCACCACACTCAGTTGGTGTAATTCCAGCCCGAAGCGGCCTGATAAGCCAGCTCAATCACATCTTGGGTGCTGTTTCTCTGGGTCTTTCTGGACTATTAACAACTCAAGAGACCCCTACAGCTGGGAATGCCAGACTGGAAACCACTGAACTGGATGCTTTTTCTCAAGTCCCATCCAGCTCTTTCAGGCTGGGTCCCTTGTATGCCTTTAGGGAGATCTGAACTTCAAGCTGCAGGCCCACTGGGATTTCCTCAGAGCCGTGGTAGCTCCCTACCCCCAAATGAGACCCCTGTAGTCTCTCCAGGAGCAGGCGATATGTGTGTGGGGGAACTCCTCCTTGCCACCTGAGCACTCAGAATTCCTGGGACCACCACACTGGCTGAAGCTGCAGGAAGGGGGTGGGTATGTGTGTGCTTGAACAAAGGCCATGGCAATGAGTGGCATAAAATCCAAACTCCGGTGGGGGCATGACATGTTGAAATATGTCTTTCATTTTTTCTTTGGTGTCCCTCCACCCTTCCCTTATGCAGATAGTTAGGCTATTCTGCTTTCCTGCCTTCAGGAAAGGAATGACACAACAGAACACAGAGTCAATTTTTAGCTTCTGAATTCCAAAAGCCTAGCCTTCAGGGAGGAATGGAAAGAATTCCCGTGCAGATACAAATTTAGAAAACTGTGTATCACTGGATCTGGGAGACTGACACTTGGAGGCTTCCCTGACAATGGAGGAGCTTCTCCTCAAGGCTCCTAGCTGTGGTCCTTTTCCAGGGCGGAGTGCCAGGGAGGTAACAAGACCCCCAGAAGAAACAGCTGTGTGCTGCATTTGGGCAAACAGGGCTTAACTAGCCTAATCAAGTAGTTGCTGTAGTCGACTCCGACTCATGGTGACCGCATGTGTGTCAGAGTGCTCCACAGAAATGACCAGAAGATAGTTAAAGAGACTTGGGTTCTTATCCCCATAACCCCCTCCCTCTGCCTTGAGGACCCAACAACTCTCAGAATCTGAGAGTGATTTCTTGCTGTTGGCTGAGCTCCCACATCTGAGGTGAGGGTTCAGGATACTTCAACTTCTCCACCTCAGGAAACAGAAATGAGACTAAAAGCCTCCTCCATGGGGAGTCTGAAGAGAAGAGCCACTTTCCACCTGACCAGACTGAAGTACTATCCTATTTCTCAGACTTTGCTGCATATTAGAATTACCTGGGGAACTTAAAAAAAATCCCAATGCCGAGCCACGCCCCATACCAATTAAATCAGAAAATCAGAAGGTGGGACCCAAGCTTCAGTTTCTTTTAAAGCTCTCCAGGTGATTCCCATGTGCATCGGAGTTTGAGAACCAGTGTCCCACTACACAGGAAAGGCAGGGAGCCCCATGCACAGCAGGGAAAGCATGAGTCATGGACCTGTTTGTATCCACGTTTGGTCTTATGAGAACATGAACACAACTGCAAGAGAAAAGAGGACAGTTACGGGTGGCTCAGGCCGAGTACATTTAATCATCCTCACCGGCAGAGGGTTGAAATGAAAACTATTCGACAGTCTCCCTAAATCAGTACATCAGGAATTTAGATGCAAATAATCAAAAGAGGGGCTTGTCACTTATCCCAAGGCCACAAAGAGATAAATAAGCTTCTGGGTCCGAGGGAGAGTCTGGGAGGTAGAACTCTGTGAAAGGCAGCAGTGACAGGAGGTGTCTGTCCAACATTAGTCTCTGGGCTGTCCCTGCTCCCTTCTCAGGCTCAGGGCAGGGAGGAACGGCAGGGAGTTGGCTCAGCAGAACTCAGTAAGAACCTGAGTGGGGGCTGGGATGTGCTGAGGGGTCAGCCTTACTTATAGTTTTTGGAGGAAAATTCCTGCCGGCCCTGGCCACCAAAGTTGCGCACCCGATGGATGATCTGCAGCTGCTGCTCAATGGTAGTGGTGATGTTCACGTCATCTGGGATGTGGACATAGCGGACATTACGGCCTGTCACAAAGAGGTCATCCAGCTCAACCTGATGACCCCAACGGTCCGTGTAGGTGACGTTGGCCAGGCGGATGTTCATGAACGCATCGACGTTGTCTATGCGTCCGCGGGCAACGCTCTCATCCCGCAGGTCCACGGTGGTTACCTGGCCCTGGAGGCCCTGCAGCAGGATGATTAGGCTGTTCTCAGAGATAGTTCGCTCCTTCACGGAGTGGCTCAATGCCATTCTTCTGCACCAGCTGGCTGCTCACTGTGGGCAAGAGCACACAGATGGGAGCTGTAGCAGGCTAGAGGGTGCAGCTGTCAACTCACCTACACCAGGTTCTAGCACAAAATCCCCAGCACAGACCTCCCCAAGCCTGACCCACCTCCCCAGTTTTTGTGTTTATGAAGCACCCTTTGGGACACAGGTGTACACATCTCATAGAATTCTCATGCCACCTTGTAAGCCAAGGATTACTTATACACATTTTATACATGAGGAAAATATGGCTAGGAGAGGTTACGTGACTTGTCGAAGGTTACACAGATGATAAGTGGAGATGTTGGGATTCAAACCCATGGCTGCCTGACTCCAAACTCCACACTGAACATTAGAATCACCTGCCAAGGTTTTACCTGGCCACCACATTCCAGATACCTGATTCATTTGGTCAGGGGTGGGGCCTAGGTATCCTATTTTTTAAAAGTTTCCCAAGTTTGAGAATCATGGCTGTAAAGTATAGTTTATACCCTTGGAACTCAAAGTATGATCCGTGGACTAGCAGTTTCAGCATCATTTGGGCACATAACAGAAATGCAGACTCTCAGGCGTCATCCCCACCTACTGTAACAGAACCTGCATCTTAACATGATCCCTAGGTAAATCACAGACACATTAAAATTTGAGAATCATTCGTCAACACCAGTTCTCAAACTTTAGTGAACATCTGAATCACCTGGGGGACTTGTTAAAACACAGATTGCCAGGCCCTACCCCTACAGCTTCTGATTCAGTAGGTCAGAGGTAGGGCCCAAGAATGTGCATTTCTAACAAGTTCCCAAGTGATGCTGATGCTGATGGTCCAGGGCCCACACTTTCAGAACCACTGGTCTACACCATGCAGTTGCCATATAAGTAGGAATTTACATAATTGAAAATGGTAGCATATAATGCACATGAGTTTTAAAGGTAGAGAGACCTGGATTGGAATCCCCACTCCACCCACTAACTCTGTAAACCTAGAACAAGTTACTTAATGTCCCTAAACTTGTTTCCACATCTATTAAACTGCAGGTTAAATGAGGCTAACAGAATCTCACTATATTGAATGCACTTTAACATGCCTTGATTTTTCATTAATGTGACTATGTCTTTTCTATCCCCTATCTTCAGACCCTTAGTCGAAGGTGGTAAAACTTTCAACCTCACTCGGAATCCAGGCCAGAGCTGTGCAGGCTGGCAGTAAAGTGTGGCAAGCCAGACTACAACATTGATGGGGAGAGTGGGAGCTGGGTTGTGGAAAGTCTAATGACCCTATCTCCCCTACAGGTTTCAGCTTGAGGAATCTGTGATCAAGCAAGGGTTTGGGGCTGGAAAGAGCAATCTCTGGATCTGGAGTCAGGCCTGGACCCGGGTTCACAGATAGGTTCCACCAATTCCTAGGAGACCTCTCATAAGCCACTTAGCTTCTTCAAGCTTGTTAACTCATTGGTAAAATGGGGATAATGACAACCCTTTACAGGCACACCTCAGAGATATTGTGGGTTCAGTTCTAGACCACGGGAATAAAGTGAATATCGCAAGAAAGCGAGTCATGTGAATTTTTTGGTTTCCCAGTACATATAAAAGTTATGTTTACACTATACTGTAGTCTATTAAGTATGCAATAGCATTATGTCTAAAAAAAAAGTACATACCTTAATTAAAAAATACTTATTGCTAAAAAATGCTAACCATCATCTAAGCCTTCAGTGAGTCGTAATCTTTTTGCTGGTGGAGGATCCCGCCTCGATGTTGATGGCTGCTGACTGACCAGGGTGGTGGTTACTGAATGCTGGGGTAGCTGTGGCAATTTCTTAAAATAGGACAACAACAAAGCTGGCTGTATCGACTGACTCTTCCTTTCACGAAAGATTTCTCTGTAGCATGCGATGCTGTTTGATAGCATTTTACCCACAGTAAAACTTCTTTCAAAATTGGTGTCAATCCTCTCAAACCCTGCTATAGCTTTATCAACTAAGTTTATATAATATTCTAAATCCTTTGTTGTCATTTCAACAGTATTCACTGCATCTTCACCAGGAGTAGATTCCATGTCAGGAAACTACTTTCTTTGCTCATCCATAAGAAACAACTCCTCATCTGTTAAACTTTTATCAGGAGATTGCAGCAATTCAGTCACATCTTCAGGCTCCACTTCTAATTCTAGTTGTCTTGCTCTTTCCACCACATTTGCAGTTACTTCCTCCACCGAAGTCTTGAACCCCTCAAAGTCATCCATGAGGGCTGGAATCAACTTCTTCCAAACTCCTTTTAATGTTGATATTTTGATCTCCTCCCATGAATCATGAATGTTCTTAATGGCATCTAGAATGCTGAATCCTTTCCAGAAGGTTTTCAATTTACTTTGCCCAGACCCATCAGAGCAATCACTATCTATGGCAGCTATAGCCTTACAAAATCTAATTCTTAAATAATAAGACTTGAAAGTTGAAATTAGTCCTTGGTCCATGGGCTGCAGAATGGATGCTGTGTTAGCAGGCACGTAAACAAGATTGATCTCCTTGTACATCAGAGCTCTTAGGTGACTAGGTGCATTGTCAATGAGCAGTAATATTTTGAAAGGAATCTTTTTTTCTGAGCAGTAGATCTCAACAGTGGGCTTAAAATATTCAGTCAACCATGTTGTAAACAGATGTGGTGTCATCCAGGCTTTGTTGTTCCATTTATAGAGCACAGGAAGAGTAGATTTAGCATAATTCTTAAGGGCCCTAGGATTTTTGGAATGGTAAATGAGCATTGGCTTCAACAAAGTCAGCAGCTGCATTAGCCCCTAACAAGAGTCAGCCTGTCCTTTGAAGCTTTGAAGCCCGGCATCGTCTTCCAATATAAGGCTGTTTCGTCTACATTGAAAATCTGTTCTTTAGCATAGCCGCCTTCATCAATTATCTTGGCTAGATCTTTCGGGTAACTTGGGGCAGCTTCTACATTAGCACTTGCTGCTTCACCTTGCACTTTTATGTTACGGAGACGGCTTCTTTCCTTAAACCTCATGAACCAACCTCTGCTAGCTATAAACTTTTCTTCTGCAGCTTCCTCACCTCTCTCAGCCTTCAGAGAATTGAAGAGAGTTAGGGTCTTGTTCTGGATTAGGCTTTGGCTTAAGGGAATGTTGTGGTTGGTTTGATCTTCTATCCAGACCACTAAAACTTTCTCCATATCAGCAATAAGGCTGTTTTGCTTTCTTATCATTCGTGTGTTCACTGGAGTAGTACTTTTGATTTCCTTCAAGAACTTTTCCTTTGCATTCACAACTTGGCTAACTGTTTGGCGCAAGAGGCCTAACTTTCGGACCATCTCAGCTTTCGACGTGCCTTCTTCACTAAGCTTAATCATTTCTAGCTTTTGATTTGAAGTGAGAGACGCGTGACTCTTCCTTTCACTTGAAGACTTAAAGGCCACTGTAGGGTTATTAACTGGCTTAATTTCAAAATTGTCGTGTGTCTCGAGAGAGGGAGAGAGACGGATAACGACCAGTCCGTGGAGCAGTCAAAACAAACAACATTCATGGATTAAGTTCGCTGTCTTATGTGGGCGGATTCATGGCGCCACAAAACAATTACAATAGTAACATCAAAGATCACGGATCACAGATCACCATAACATACAATAATAATGAAATTTCAAGTTTAAAATATTGCAAAAATTACCAAAACGTGACACAGAGACTCCAAGTGAGCACATGATGTTGGAAAAATGACTCCTATAGACTTGCTCAAAGCAGGGTTCCCACAAACCTTCAATTTGTAAAAAACGCAGTATCTGCGAAGCACAACAAAAGGAGGTATGCCTGTACTCACAGAGCTGTGGCAGTGGGTTTGGGGAGATGAGCTATACTCAGTAAATCCGGAAGACAACGCTTTCCTTGCTCCCCTGCAGTCCTCCGTTTCCGGGATCTCCCGCGCTGCGCCTACGGCTCCAGCACACTATCGTCCCAGACCCACCGTGCCAGATTCCTTCCGCTTTCCCTGTTCGGGTAGCCAGGGAAGCTAGCAGTCTCCTAGATAGGCCGTCTCAAGCCAGAGGTAGCCAGCCAAGAAGCCATGGCAACGATGGGGCCACTCTATCCTCCGAACATAGAGAGGGCCGTCAGTGCGCAGGACTCGCGTCACCGCGGGAAGCCGGAAACTACAATCCCCAGAATGCCTCGCGAGGCGCGGTGGCTCGCACTCTTCTGGTCCCTGGTTTACGTCATCGAATTCTTTCCTTCTTTGGAGTCATTCATTCGCTCAACATTCATTGAGTGTTCACCATGTGTTAGGTACTTCTCCAGGCACTCGGTATACAGCGGTGACCAACCAGACAAGCTCCCTAATCTGACGGCGTTTACATCTACTGACGGCGGGTAGCAGGGTAGGGGGTGGGGGCGGGGAAGAGTGTATAAGAAAATAAACAAAAATATGATAAATCTCTTCAGACAATTAGAATAGGATGGTGTGATAGTGACAGAGTGGCTACTTTATTGGATGGTCAGGATGGCCTGAGAAGGTGACATTTGAGCTGAGGTGGATAACACAAAATTCAGGAGAGCATTGCAAACGGTTTGTGCAAAAAGCCAAGTGGAAATGAGCTTGACAATTTGGAAAAAATGGAAAGGCCAGTGAGACTGGGATGAGTGGTGCGAGAAGAGGTCTGAGAGGAAGGCAGGGTCCAGAGCATTTAGGGATTTGTAAGCCAAGGTAAGGAGTTTAGATTTCATGGTTAGAAGTGCAGACTCTGGAGACAGTTGTTGTTAGGTGCTGTGGAGTCAGTTCCAACTCATAGTGACCCTGTGTACAACAGAACGAAACACTGCCTGGTACTGCACCATCCTCATAATCCTTGCTATGTTTGAGCCCATTGTTGCAGCCACTGTGTCAATCCATCTTGTTGAGGGTCTTCCTCTTTTTCGCTGACCCTCTACTTTACCTAGCATAGTGTCCTTCTCCAGGGACTGGTCCCTTCTGATAACATGTCCAAAGAAAGTGAGATGAAGTCCTGCCGTTCTCCCTTCTAAGGAGCATTCTAGCTGTACTTTTTCGAAGACAGATTTGTTCGTTCTTCTGGCAGTCCACGGCTGTAAAAATGGAGTGGCATGGGTACCTGACCTCCTCTAACTTCACAAGGAGGAAGGAGAATCAAGATCAACAACCCAAGGCTGATTGCTGTGAGGCGGAGGTCAGACATACCTCCACTCTACAACCTTTTTTTTCAAAATTCTCTCTCTCTCTCTTTTTTTTTTTTATTGTGCTTTAAGTGAAAGTTTAGAGTTCGTCAGTTTCTCGTAAAAAAATTTCTACACACATTGCTATGTAACCCTAGCTGCTCTCCCTATAATGCGACAGCACACTCCTCCTTTCCACCCCAGATTTCCAGTGTCCATTCAACCAGTTCCTGTCCCTTTTTGCCTTCTCATCTCATCTCTGGACAGTAGCTATCCATTTAGTCTCGTGTATCTATTTAAGCTAAGAAGCACTCTCTTCATGGGTATCATTTTATGTCCCATAGTCCAGTCTAATCATTGAAGGGTTGACTTCGGGAATGTTTTCGGTTCTGGGCGAACGGAGAGTCTGAGAGCCATGTCTTCTGGGGTCCCTCCAGTCTCAGTCAGACCATTAAGTCTGGTCTTTTTACCAGGATTTGAGTTCTGCACCCCACTTTTCTCCTACTCCATTAGGGACTCTCTGTTATGTTCCCTGTCAGGGCGGTCATTGGTGGTAGCCGGGCACCATCTAGTTCTTCTGGTCTTAGGCGGATGGAATCTCTGGTTTATGTGGCCCTTTCTGTCTCTTGGGCTAATATTTTCCTTGTGTCTTTGGTGTTCTTCATTCTCCTTTGCTCCAGGGGGGTTGAGACCGATTAATGTATCTTAGATGGCCGCTGACTAGTTTTTAAGACCCCAGACGCCACTCACCAAAGTGGGATGCAGAACATTTTCTTAATAAAATTTGTTATGCCAGTTGACCTAGATGTTCCCTGAAACCATGGTCCCCAGACCCCCGCCCCTGGTACTTTGTCCCTCAAAGTGTTTGGTTGTATTCAGGAAACTTCTTAGCTTTTGGTTTAGTCCAGTTGTGCTGACTTCCCCTGTATTGTGTATTGTCCTTCCCTTCACCAAAGATAATTTTTATCTACTATCTAGTTAGTGAATACCCCTCTCCCTCCCTCCCCACCCTCATAATCATCAAAGAATGTTTTCTTCTGTGTTTAAACCATTTCTTGAGTTCTCATAATAGTGGTCTCATATAATTTTTGTCCTTTTGCAACTAATAAATTTTACTCAGCATAATGCCTTCCAGATTCATCCATGTTATGTTTTGCAGATTCATCATTGTTCTTTATCATTGCATAGTAGTCCATTGTGTGAATATACATGATTTGTTTATACATTTGTCCACTGATGGGCACCTAGGTTGCTTCCATCTTTTTGCTATTGTGAACAGTGCTGCAATGAACATGAGTGTGCATATATCTATTCATATGACGGCTCTTACTTCTCTAGGACATATTCCAAGGAGCGGGATTCCTGGATCATATGGTACTTCTATTTCTAGCTTTTTAAGGAAGCACCAAATTGATTTCCAAAGTGATTGTACCATTTTACATTCCTACGAGCAGTGTATAAGTGTTCCAGTCTCTTCACAACCTCTCCAATATTTGTTATTTTGTGTTTTTTGGATTAATGCTAGCCTTGTTGGGATGAGATGGTATCTTGTTGTAGTTTTGATTTGCATTTTTCTCATGGCTAAATATCCTGAGCATTTCCTCACGTATCTGTCAGCCACCTGAATATCTTCCTGGGTGAAGTACCTGTTCATATCCTTTGCCCATGTTTTAATTGGGTTATTTGTCTTTTTGTTGTTGAGGTTTTGCAGTATATTGTAGATTTTAGAGATTAGACGCTGATCGGATTTGTCGTAGCCAAAATTTTTTTCCCATCTGTAGGTTGTCTTTTTACTG